AACTAAATAAATTGCCTACGATAGGCGAAAGTGGAAGAGTGTGCAAGGAGCAGTAATTAAAGAAATTGCCTACGATAGTCCTAAGTGGTGCCATAGGAAGTGAAAGGTAATGAAAATCTTGTTGGAGAGAACTACACACTGGATGGGCTTGCTAGCAAGCTATTCATTTACATGATGTGTGAATGTGTGAGGTAAGTGTGCGAAGACACGGGTCCAAGTGCAAAAAACTTCAAGAATGTAAGTTATGAACACACAAGATGTCATGCGAGAAAGAATGCAAAAGTACAAAGTGTGAACCTCCCGTGACATGATACAAAGTGACATAAGGATGTCAAAAAACAAATATATACAGTAATGTGTCGCTGGGAGGCACAAATACTCATCACGTGCATATGAGGGTGTATGCTCTCAAATGCACTACAGTGTGCAAATGTGGATGAGCTAATGCAAACAATGTGAAAAAGCATGCAATTGATGCAACATACTAAATAAAAAAGGGTTGATCGCTTGATTGGATCGGTGTTGGTCGTTCGATGGAGCCAACTGAGGTGGTGGATTGAGCTAACATGGGTAGTTGATCGACAGAAAGTGGTCGTCGATGTGATTGGGCTGGTGGCGATCAATCAATTGGGTAGACTAAAGATGGTCGATAGAGCTAGGGTGTGTGGTTGATTGATGAAGGATGCTCAATCGATATGATCTAGTTGGTGGCGACCAATCAATTGAGTGGATCAAACATGGTCGATCGAGCTGGAGTGTACGGTCAAACGTCGAAGGATGGCCGATTGATGCAATCAGACCAATGGCAGTCAGTCGATTGAGTGGACCAAAGATGGTCAATCTGGACGGGGTGTGAGTCCGATCGATGAAGGATGGTCGATCAATCCGTTCAACGCCAATGATTGCTAATCGATTGAGTGGGCTGAAGATGGTTGATCGGGCTAGGGTGTGTGACTGATCAACAAAGGTTAGTCGGTCTATACGATCGAGCTGATAGAGACCGATCAATCAAATCTACGGGAGAGATTGTCGATCAAGGTGGTCGATTGACAACACATGGAAAAAATGGATGTTTTTAATGTTTTTAATGCATATTTTATTAAGCATATTTTATTAACTATGCGGTGCACATAATGAAAATGCAAACACATGAAGTATGTGACTCGATTAGGTTTGAAGATGAATCATATTTTTCTTAGTGAACTCACAGTAAATCTATGAGTGATGGAGAGGTATACCAACATCTTATTGTACGAGGCAACAAGATGCCCACCTTCATTTGGACGACACTAGATGGGGACTCTCCATGATCGCGAAGATCAAGAAGACAACAACCAAAGGAATGCCTTTATTTTTTTGGCCGGTGGATTTTAAATGTCCATCCGGATGAAACCAACGATGCAAACAACGAGATTAGCACAACACCGCTTTCAAATTTTGGGCTAGAAAGAAAAAGGATAGGTTTTACTCTTTGGATTTATAGGGGAAAACACAAAGCACCTAATTTTATGGGTCTTTCTCTAAGCACACAAAAATCCTAACCTAACTTCTCTTACATCCAGACCTAGGGGGCTCTAGGAATGAAAATCACAGGAGTTCATGAGATCTCAGGGACACGATGGTTGATGACACATTCTCTGGGCTTGCTCGAGCTCCTCCGAGGTGACATTGACAAAGCCTAATTCCTTCTCCAAGATAGTGAAGAATCTTTCCTCACCAGAGAGTATGACAA